TATATATATATTGACATAGAATATTAGTATATTAGAGAAAAATGTATGGTGCATGGTCGTGTAGATACTGCACTCTTCTGAACGATAATACATCTCTGTTCTGTGCTTCCTGTGGATCACAGAATCCAACTTCATCGAGCAGTTCTATTTTACATCCTCCACGTGTGCAATTGTTCAAACGGCCGAGTGAGTTCTTCCATCATCCTTCCAGATAAAGATGTAGAAGTAAGTGTAATACTTCAAGAGTTATGAAGTTTTATTTTACCATTCATTTTGAAATTTTGAATAAAAACTCAAATTGCATTATGGAAATAATTGACATCATATTTTAATTTTAGAAATCTCATTAAGTGGTGCTTTAAATGCAATCAGTTCGGCTTTAACTGATATTCAAATACTACCTGCTGTTTTTGGCTTATCACGATCTTCATCTTGTCATAATCTTGCGTCATATTCTCCTCCTTCACCAACGAAGGTAAGGGTGCAGCATTCCATTTCAACAAAAATTTGAAATTTTTAGAATAGTTTAAGGAAAATCTATGTGTATCAAACATCACATCATCATGGTCAGCATACTCAGAATTGCGGTCGTCATTCTTCATAGTTCTTAAGAATGTCGTAGATAACTATAGTATCGAAAAGTGTTTCTTCAGATAACTATAGTATCGAAAAGTGTTTCTTCAGACACTTTCAATAAATTTGTTCATTAGTTGTTATTTAGGTGTACCCACCAACGATACCGTGTCAAGCTATTTCAACATCATCATTCCAACTATTGCAAGATGATGAAAAAGAAGCTGCGTCCGAGTTTGATCGGATTGTTGGATTTTGCAAGTAATTTTATTTTCACAATTTTCATCTTCAGCTTGTCCAATAAAGGCTTGCTGTTATGGTATCTTGTGTTGAAAGCAGACAGTTTCGTAAATTCAACATTTTCTTCGTTGGATAAAGTTGATGCCACTGCAAGGTTTTAGGTTAAGTACCTTAGTATTCTGAATTTTTGAATTCCAAGATGTACAACTTCAAATGTTTGAAGCAACAAGACAAAGTATAAAGAAGATGAAATAATAGTAGTAGTAGTGGGAATCACTTAGTTTCTAACAAAGCAAGCAATTCCAAAATCATATTTTGCAGAGAAAATAATATGCCGTTTATTGACGATAGTTTCCCCCATTCAAAAAAATCTATTGGTAATTTCATTATTGATGGAAGATTAAATGGTAAAAAGATAAGTGCAGACCATTTCATCTGGCTTCGACCACAAGACATATACACGAAGGATGGCAAACGTTATAGATGGTCCGTATTTTTAGATCCCAAACCATCGGATATCGAGCAGGGTTAATTTTTTTGCGATTTTGTGGTTTCTAATATTTAGTGTTTTTCGGAATCAATTTATGATCCAGTAAGATATATTATAAAATACGCAGCGGCTAATGATAATAACATTCGTTTTTCTCTTTGTTCAAATTTTGCAAAATTTAATTTGTTTAAACTTTTAACTTGTATTTTTGTCTTTAAATTTTTGTTTTTGTTTGGAATTTTTCAGCCTTATATTTTTCTATGCATTTCTGTAAAGCATATAAAATTTATTAGTAAATTCCTAAATTATTTGTTTTCTTTTGCAGGTTGCCTAGGTAATTGCTGGTTTTTGTCAGCTTTAGCAGTTATCGCTGAAAGACCGGATATTCTGGATCAAATTTTTCTAACAAAAGTTTATAATCCTTGGGGAGTCTATCAAATACGGTAAGTTATCTTTCCTCTTCTGTTGACGTACTTTGCCGCTTACAGCATTTTCTGTTTTTTCTTTTTTTGAGTTTCCAACATTTTTTCCAAATCCAAAACTGAGTTGTGAATGTCAAATTGCAGACTGTGTGTTGATGGCCACTGGCGGGTAGTTCTTGTCGATGATTTTCTTCCGTGCCATTCTCAAACTCGTGGAATTGCTTTTGCTGTTGGACGACGCAATCAGGTTTTTTTTTTTTTTGGTTAAATAGGATTTTATTCTCCTCTGTTTTAGAAAGAGTTGGGATTAAAGTGCAAACTTGAAAATTGAAATACAAAGTACAAGCTGAAACTATAAACAGCTCAAAATCAAGTATTGAAATGGCATGTGTGTTTAGCTAACAAAATAACCTTGTACAGGTTTAGATTATAGATCCAATGAGCTAGAAAAACATGTTTGTATTTGTATATTTAGCTTTGGGTTCCCTTGATCGAGAAAGCACTTGCAAAAATACTTGGCTGTTATGCAAAGTTACCTGCTGGACGTACACTGGAAGGTCTCGCAATACTTACTGGTGCACCATGTACATTTCTCGATCTTGAAAACTGCACGGACTACGATTTGATTTGGGCCCATCTTCTTAGTATGAGGTATTTAATATTTGTTTTAATGAATAGGTTGAGATTTATTTGAATTAAGAATTCAATACTCCAATTTGGATCTATGAGTAGCGGATTACTAAATAGTATAAGAAAGGATGCAATCATCCTCTCGTTATTTAGCGATCTTTTTCAATGGTATTCTAAACGATGGTATTGGAAGTCTCCTAAGATTTGCAGGTTAGCGAGTGATAGGAAGAAAAGGTAGTGGAAAAGTACTGTGGAAAAAAAAAACTGTAAATACTTAAAATTTTTAATAATCATTGAAGCATTACTGCTAGGATCTGATGTCATGCATTTAAACTATTAATTGGGTTTTGCTAATTTTCTGATTCATTTAGAGATCTCACCTTTTTTTAGAATACTGACAAAGCTACGATTTTCAGGGAAGCAGGTTTTATTATGGGTTGCAGTTGTGGTAGCGGAAGAAATAATGTAAATGAAGCTGAGTTTAGACGGGTAGGTTTGCAAATACGGCATGCATATTCATTGCTGGATGTCAAAGAATATAACGGTCAAAGGCATGTCTTTCATTTTATCTTTTCTGGAATTTAAAATTTGGTTATTGCAGTGAATTGCACAAATGTGTACTCAAAATTCCGTGAAGAATAAGTCTACATATATTTTAGAGTTGTTCGCTTGCGAAATCCGTGGGGTACGTTTACCTGGAATGGACCTTGGTGTGACACGTGGTCAGGTTGGGATGAATCAAGTCGTCGAATTTTGTTACCACATGGTCCGGAAGCGGGAGCGTTCTGGATGCCTTTTCAAGATTTCATGCAACGATTTGATTCTGTGAGTTTTAAAAGCAATGTTTAAGTTGAAAAATACATGGATGCCAGTATTTCATTGCTTTTCTGTCGTTATCTGTTGTGGAGATTCATTAACATCATGATCATTGTGGAAACGAATCAATATATTTCAAATACTATATTATGGATACCTACAGAGTAAAACATTGTTTTAGGTCGAAGTGGCTAAGGTACGGTCAGCACAAGGTTGGAAGGAACTTCGGGTTGATTGTACAATACCCCAGTTCTGGGGTAAAGGAAACATTTTGTAAGTAATTTGATTTTTAAGATTTCTCTTGACCTTCGTAGTCCGTTTTGTCTTTTTCTTGACTGCATTTTTTGAAATCATCGCTTAAGTTGGACTTATGTCTACTGAAGTTCTTGTTTTGTAAAGTACAAAAGAGCTGTGTTTTTGTTCTTTCCGATCCAGAATTTTCTATAAAGCGTTTTCAAACTTTTTAGGGGTTTTCAACTTCAAATCGAAGAACCTACGGAATTAGCTATTACCGTTTATCAGAAAGGATCTCGTGATCGATGTGATAGTGATATAATAGTGTTACTCCATAGAAATGGTCCTTGTAATACACGAATAGGTGAACTTATCGTAAGGTGAATTTTGCAGGACTTTTCTTTTTAGGGACAAAAAACTGTCGAAAGTTTGTAACTTTTTACGCGATTTTTTAATTTTAGTCAACTTTTCTTCAACCTTTTATTTGTATAAGATGGATAGTGCTCTGAACCAGTGCAAGTCCAATCAATAGATAAAAATGAATAATACTTCAGCCGTTGGTATTTTTTTCTGGAATTTAATGCATGTTTAGCGCTGTGCAAGAGATGCACTATGTTGAAATATCAGCTAATGCAGAATAATCACTATTTAATGAGCGATTGGACACATTTTAATAAAATTCAGTACGGTATCATTTCTCCAATTTTAAAAGTGTTTGAGAAACTTCATTATATTTTCTTTTCAGATCATTCCGTCGCACTATAGCATTTGCAAGTACTAAAGATGTTTTTTTAAATGGTCCAGCTTTGTACACTATACTTGCTGTATCCTTTAGTAATATGTCGGATCCAGTTTCAATTGAAACTGTTGTTGCTGTTCACAGGTATTTTTAAAATAATTCAGAAAAAATTTTGGAAAAAAAAAAGTTGGAGGAGATTAAAAAAGTTGTTGCACAGTAAATACTTACACTGAAGACAACAGTTAAAAAGAATAAAAAAGTATAAGCCAGAAAGTCAAAAACTGTTCCCAAATTTTGCAATAAAACTTAAAATTCTTGAATGATGTTTAGAGTATTTTGTAGATTGTACCATTATACTTAAAATTATATTCAAGAATGCATAATCTTTCAAGAACATCTTTTCAGTTCAAAAATGGTAATGGTGGAAGCTTACTGTTTTTCATCATCAGTTGTTGCTCATTCGATGATTGAAATGTGTTTGAAAGAGGGCCAAAATGCACCGGTAAGTTATGTAGAGCGCTCTCTTTAAGTGGAATCTCATTTGATTTTTGTTTGTTCATTTCATCTTTGCCTATGCTCATCTCATTTTCCAATTTTTAAGTTGTTAACGAATTTCTGAAGCGATGATTTACAGTTGGATAATTATTTACGTGAATTTTTGCCTTTTTCTGTGCATTATTGGAGCTTAAGTCATTTCATTCTCCATTAGGGTTTATTGAAATATTGAATCAATAAATTTCACTCCTGCAATAATTTTTTGCTATTCATTTTTTTATCGCAGATAGCTTACTTAGATACTGTTGCATTTAAAGACTTTTAAATAAATGGCCTTCAGTGCTTAGATGGTACAGTTATTCGTTACGTGTCAAAGGACTTTGGTGGACATATACTGATGATCGAAAATCATCACCATCGACACTTTCTGCATGTAACATTTATCTTTTGTTGAAATTATAAATCGGAATATTCATTTTAAATATTCCTTTAACTATTTGAATTCAATTATATATTTATTTCATTTATTTTGAATACGACTTGTTCAGGTTTATTGCGATTGTTCGCAGTCGACTAATGTACTTTCAACACGTGCAAGTCTTATTTCATTAGACGTGATACCACCAATGCATCGTCAGGTTCACTTTTCATAGTGATTATATTGTGCTTATATTTTTCCTAAATTCGTAATTTTTATTTGATCTAAAACTTGAAGTTGAAGTATTCATTTATTTTAAAGACACGAAAATAGTAAAAATTAAAAAAATGTTTCAGATTGTAATGTTGCTCACACATTTTGAAACAACGCAAATGTATACCATTCATCACAATCTAAAGCAACGTCTTGTATCGTCGCGCGGTTTACAAGATTGGTTATCACTTGCGCCCAGAGAGCTTTCTCTACCCTTTTATACGGAGCATGTTCCAATTATTGAAAATCCTTGTGTGAATTCACTTCATAAACCTCGTAGAATCGGGTGATTTTTTTTTCGTTTTTCAGCTTCAGTTTTTTGATTAGAAATTCTAACTTATTTAGATTTAATGTTAGATTTTTGTTCTTCTAAAGAGTCTTTTGTTTATGTGAAGGTATCAGTTAATTCCTACAAGAAAAACAAAATTTGGCTCTCTTGGTCAGAGAATTCCGTTATGCAATAAAGATTAAATTTTATTGTGGATATACCTTCAGGTATTCAATATTTTTTGAATTGCTTTTCATTTATAATATTCAAAAACTGTGATTTCTTCCTCAGCGGCACATTTCTATGTCCAATCTTGCTTTTTTTTGTTCCACTGTTGAACTACCGCCACAAGGTTTTCCAAATAATCTCTTATCATTTTTGTGGTTTTGCTGGAAGAAGATGACTGCATTGTTGTACTTATTTGAATAAGTCTCATATGTAAAGCATAAAAAATGCAGATTGCTCATGTGATAACCATTCGATGATCTGGCTGGTGCAGTGAATTATTTTTGTGATTTAATGAAAGCTAATTTTCATATTCTTCATGGAATTATTATTGTTTATGACAATAATATTTAACGGAAAACACTATGTTTGGAAAAAAACTATGGCTTACACCAATGAAAAACTTAAAAATAAAACATTTTAGAATTTGGGTAATAAATAATTAGCAATTGATTTTAAAGATTTGGTACTGTTGATTTTTGCTCTTATAATTATCATTTCTTTCTTCGAAATTACATTTTGTTAAACGTTTGTTTTACAACTTTGTTTAGTATTTTCTTTGCAGTCATTATGAAAGAAGATATATTGTGTAGATTAAATTTAATGCAGTATTACATCAGCACATAGAGCAGTTGATCAGATAATTTTGAAATTTGCAATTGGGAAAATAGGTCGAAAGATTTGGATGCAAATTGTTATGCACGATCAAAAATGCAAAATGATCTCTACAAATTATATTGCATTAGAGTATTTTCTGTTAATTAAAGTTAAATTTTAATTCTTCTCTAACAAAGTAAAGAGATCAGATATCCACTGCATTTTGGAGAGTATTAAACGCTAACACTTCTAAATAAGCTAAGAAGTATTGTTTTTTATCCAATAAAAATTGAACAATCTTTAATTGGTCAATCAATGAATTTTTAATAATACTTGGTAATTAACGAAAGTCTTTTTTTTTCATTTTTGAAGACATTAAAAAAAACCTCATAAAATGATGCATAATATATTTGCATGACTTAAAATATTTGATTGTAAAAAAGGAAAAACAACTATGTTGGATGGAAATAATCATAACCTTGAAGATTTGTTTGATGTGATCGTCGTAAGATTATATGTTTTCATGTCATGATACCAGAATATTTCTCAGTATTCGGATTATCGCAAAAAAAAAATGATACTTCAATAAATGGATAAAATTTGGTTGATATATGCGCACAATCTTCTCATTTTTATGAGTTCCTTTAAAAAAAAAAGAAAGTATCGAAAATGGATTTTAATCAGTTGTACTTGAAAAGAGAGAGAATGATTTCGGGGAAATGAATGATCGTAAATTCTTTCCTTTCTTTAAAAAGTATATGAAAATAATGAATTGCAAAGATGACTGAAAATTTATCAATGTTTTCTTTTTCCACTTCAAATCTCATTTATTTCCGTAACCCTTTTCTCATTTATCCGGATGTCACATTATTTACAGCTGTCAAGGATTATAACTTATTGATCAGTATTTGTTACAAATAAAATTTAATCCTTTCTTTGTAATATATGCAAATGGTAGCATCGATTTTCTAATGAGTTTTATTTTCAATAATTTAAAAATAATTTGAAATAATTTCTTTTCTCTTATTATTGTGTGAGAAATTTACCTTTCATGCAAGCAATAAAAGAGTATGTTCGTTGAAAATACAATGTTAGTCATCAAATCGATAATTCTTCACTCAACAATATCTGCTAAATTTTGTTGACTCGTTTGATTAATCATTGACATATTTTAAATCTTCTTCTTGATAATAATTGAAAATATTTCTCATATTCAATAATAACTTTCTGTAGCTTATTTTTGAAGCAAATTATATGGATAAAATTAGTAGCTTTTTTGCAAAAACAATTTAATTTTTCTTTGTGGTGTGAATTTGACGAAAGAAAGAATTTGAGACTAATTAACAATATTGTGTATTATATGGAATATTTAAGAAAGAAATAAATTTTTTTTCCAAAGAACTTTCCGATATTTATTCAAATATTCCGTGCTTATTCAATTATTTTCATGTCTATTCAATTATTTCTCGAAATAAAAAGCGCAAATGGTTCAAATAAATAAAAGGAAAGTGTAATGACGATTATAGATCTTGGCTGCAAAAATGTTATCAAATTTCCATAAATATTTGAAAAACTTTTCTCATGCAAATGTTTCCAATGTGATGACAGACAAGTAATATCAACTGATCTAATATTACAAATCAATCGTATCGATCCAAATGAGATGAACGATCGGTTTTAATGTATTAGTAATTTTGGAATGATAATATGATAAAATGAAAGAGAACTAAAATATATCATTCTGTTCATGTTGTGATTTGTTGAAAGATTTATCAAAATTGAATTCATAATAAAATTTTTAAAATTCTGATAAGAAATTCACAAGATTGAAGTTGTACTTCTCCCATATTTTTACTCGGATCTTGGGATTAAGAATGGATGATGACACGTGAAATGAAATTTATTCAATTCCCGTAATTTATAAATAGGGAAATAAAAATTTGTTGCTAATCAAAATGCATGGCGAAGCATTTCCTCAAAAGTTAATTTAGCCAAAATTTCACTGCTTTTCTAAAATTTTTATCAAAAATTTGCTCAACAACAAAAAAACATTGGAGAAAATTGATTAAAAGATTTGTTGAAAAACTTGTTAAAGAATTTCTTCGTTGAAAATTTTGTTTGCAGCTTGCAAAATTAATATTACTTACGAATTCTTTCGTTAACATTTTTCAATTCAATTATTTGCTATTCAATTTTAAATTATGACTCACTAATTTAGTTAGTTGGAAAAGATTTATCCCTGAAAATAATTTCTGAGAATCAATTATGGTATTTTGATTATACTTCACTTTCATTGCCTGCAATGATTTATAAGTATGAATAAAAGAGTTTGAAATGGAAAAAAAATTTTTTCTTTCTTATTAATATTTCACATTCTTTCACCTTCCCTTCCCGAAATGGTCATTTTGAATTAATGAGAAATGTTTGTTAGCAAAAAAAAAGTTTGGAAGGGAAAAGAGAACATAAGTAGATTGATAGATTAAAGTCTAAAAATGACAAACAAAATTAAATTTTCTCATTGTGAAAAAAAAAGGAGAAAAAAAAGTACAGCAAAATCTTTTTATGCATTTGTTTTTGTGTGCAAAAAAGGAGAAATGTTTTTTTTTTCCTGAAAATTTCTCTCGAATGAAACATTAATTAGAGAGGTCATATGATTGGTAACTGCGATTGGCATGATATCATGAAAATCGAGAACGATGGAAATATTTTTGCGCCATTGTTGACAATTTTATTATAATCACGGATAGTTGTACCCTTTTGCGCTAACAATAATCACAAAAGGGCACATACTATTTTGCACATCAATATGAACCAGCTTGTCATAATGATTAACTAACCATATTAATGCATCCATTTTTCAACACTTTCCACAGATAACAGAAGATAACAAACCAATACTGATAATAAGTGATCATTGAGCACTACCATAAAATTGTCATAATTTCAAGCTATAAATTGTAGCATACATCTTTTTAGAAATAAGAAGACTAGGTATCATAATTAATTTAATTTTTGTTATCTGTGAGAACAGAATTTTTTTTCTCTCGGAAATTTTTATTTAATGTTTAATAATGACAAATGTACATCACTAAAATATCTTCTAAAATCTGGTATTTATTGATTTAGATTACCTGGATTACTATATTGGACTTTGATGATGTGAATAAATGTATAGATGCAATTAATTAGTTCAATTTTTCTTTCGAAAATTTCAAAAGAAAATATATTTCATCCTGTTAAACATAATTTTATATACTATCAAAAAATTTTACAATATTTAAATTATTTTAATGAATGATCGATTAATTTTGCAGCTCTGATCATTGCAAAAGCATAAGCAAAATGTGAGCGAAATTAATTAATTGAACTATTCTTGAATGTTATCAAGGTTGATAACAATTCCTATATCATTATTTTGTTATCTTTTTAGAGCTTTTTTTCTCACTTACACTATATCTCATTGAATCATACAAAAAGTAAATTTAAAAAAATATGATCACGGTTGCATAATGAATCATAAACAATAGGAATTTGATGATATATCGATAGTTATTAATGGAAAATACAAAAAATATCATTTGTTTGTGAAAGCAGTGGAGTGGAAAATTCTTTGCCAAATTTTACAATTAATTCAAAAGCTTTAGGAAGGGAGTTGTCATTGTTAACTAATTTTTTAGAGGAATTTTGAACAATAATCACTATCAGTAAAAAATAAAGACAGAATGGCATATCGGGAAATGAGTGATTAATCATTCCTTTCCATTTTATAGTGCTTGATTGATAGTGTCATATTTGGTGATAACTTATAACAAATTTAGAAAAAAGCGGAACGTTTGATTAAATTTTGAAATTACGAAAAGATTAGATTTTTTTTTGAGTATGGAATAAAACAATTTTATTTTTTGTTGTTGAAAATAAAAATTTATTGGGAAAAATTAATTATGGGATTATTTTATCTCGAAATTCTTTTGTTTTTATGAGTTTTATTCCTGCTTGCTTGAGTTTCCGTCAATTTTAGAAAAAGAATTGACAGTTTTTGTGATTATCAGGAATAAAGCATTTCTTGTTAAATCACTGACGAAATGTGTTCAATGTCGAAATTAAATTCCTTTCAATCATTTTGCTTTGATTATAAAATAATAAATTTCAGAAGACAAGAATATAAAAGAAAGAAAAAAAATTGCAATTTTATACCTTTTTTTCAAATTTGTTTTAAATTTTATCATGTATTTTAAATTATTGTTAGTTTGGCATTGCTTAGAGGTTTGAATTCTCCGGACTTCAACTACTTCATAATTTCTTTTCTTTTTTTTCAAAATCAGCAAATTAAATTAATGTATAATTTAATTGAAATGGAATTAAATGAGCAATTTAAAAACTTTGTACCATACGGTTGCATCTATCTGTTTCGATTAATTATTCTGATTGAATATGAAGCTGCATGGAGTTAAAATGATGGAAAGTTGAAGAAACACTTTATGCATTTGTCAATTTAAGGAAATATTAAGTAATGATGAATCCATTAGCTGTAATTATTAAACTGAGTGGACAATACTAATAATATATGAAATCAAATAACTCTCTCTCTTTCTCTTCTCTCTCTCCTTCTCTTAAATTGGCCATTGCTGGACAAAAGAATAAAAGCCTATGGTCAAATGAAGAGAGCAGTTTACTCGCGTATTCATCCGTGTCACATTAGTCAATAAAACATTGCCATTATCATAACTGATTCCGATTATGTGATATTAATGTATGTGAACTATAAATAATTAAATATTTTAGTAAGATTTCATAAAAAATTTCAAAAAAAAGGAAAGAAATCTCGCATATTTTCTCTATTATATTCGGATAATTTCAATTTATCTATTAATTTCTTCTAATTTATTCTTTCATCTTTTTGCTTCTCCGTTGTAAACTTAGGAAATTACTAAACATAATTACATCATTGATTTATTTAATAAATAAATTATGAGAAATGCTACGAATAAATTTGAAACGAGTAGATGAACGGTAAATGTTATTGATGAGCTGTCATTGCATAATTCTTGAGCACAATAACACTTCCTCATCTCTTTCAATCTGCAAAAATTTTAAAATAATAAAGAAAAATGTGATGAAATTAAATTGATGATATTGATTGCTATTGATATTATTATATCCTATGTTCATTGTCGCCTGATTTACATCTTTTATCAGTAAATTAACAGTATTTCATGTATCCGAAAGTTATGCCACTAAAATTTAAAATAATTTACTTCCAAACATTCATATTCACACATTCGCCATCTTTGAGCATTCTCTCTTCGGAATCCGCACATCGCTTTTCGACATAATATGAACCGTCCTAAAGATTTTAAATTTTTTTTTAAATTAAAAATGGAGAAGAAATATTATGCTATGATGATGATTGAAGAATTACAAATTATTTTTTCTTTTGTATGACAAAAACTACATATTAGCTAATCAATCATTAGTATCTTTCTGATGGCATAACATTTTCAATTTATAACAGATCTTAAAATTTATATAGATGTTTAAATTAAAAAATATAACCAAATGAGCTACTGATAATCTCAACATTTCAAAAAATCTCTGACTAATCAATTAAGAATAAATCAAAAAGTACCGGAGCTAAAAAAAAAAAAACATAAACATATAAAATTCGTAAAGAAAATTGTAACTGAGCATTTCAAATCTTCCTGATCTTTATGGTACTATTTAAAATTAGGTATGAATAAACTGAGCCAACAGGAAGATTTATCATTCTGTTTTAAAAAATCACCGGACTGCTATCATTCAATTCATTATGATAACAGTATTTGAAGACTGAAACTAACCGAACTGAAAGTAATTTTGATGATTTTTTCTTCTCAAAAATCAGTTATTAATGTGATAAACAGGAATCTGAGAAGTTATGAAATTCCGATAAAATATGCAAATATGTGATAATTGAGAAAGCAATATGAACAAACCGTGTTTAATGCGGTAACTGAAATACAACCATTCCGGATTCTACTTCCAGTACAGTTTATTTTTTTTGGTTCACCTTTACAAGCTGCTGTTGGAGCACTCAAAAATACACCACATGAGTAGCACTGAAAGGGTGATGAAGATGGTACGGGAAGTATTGGTAACCATAATAAAGTAAACAGCATTCCTGAATAATGAAAAAAGAAAAGAAAATTTAATTTTAAAAATTCCGGAGAGAAAGCAATTAATTTCAAACACACACACACACACAAATAAACATTTCAAATGAAGAAGAAGATATGAAATGAAAATGAGAAATAAGAATAGCACAGAATACGATAATCAAATATATTGATTTTGTTTTCAGATCTTTGAGTATTTCTTATTGTTATGATAATGAAATGATAAAAAACATTATTAATCAAAGAGATTACCGATAAAACTCTAAGAAACATATAAGATTTCGATTTTTGCTACATCTGATAGATTTCAAATGAATTATAATAAGTAATAATGATAAATGAAAGTAAAGATAAGTGTGATAATGAATAGCATTGATAACGATTCAACAAGAGATGATTTTAGCTGCCTAGTATTGGAACTTTGATGCAGCACCTTTCTAAGCATCTAACAATCATCTGACTATAATTATTATCGTGATTTGAACGACATTCCGATAAATCCGAAATCGATGAACAGATTGTGGCGAAGAAATAAATTGAAGTAAAAGTGTCGATGAGATCGGAAGGGAGGAAAAGAGGTTGAAATGATGGAAAAATGAGAATTTGAATGTAGCAATTCAGATTTTACAGAAATGAAATCATTGAAATTAGTGAATAATACCGTAAAATGACTAACAATGGAAACATTGGAGAAAGAGAGAGAGAGAGAGAAGGGGAGAGAGTGGATGTAATGCATAATAATTTTGCAGACGTATTGTATTAAAAAGTTAATATGATGATTTGTTTTCATTTGGCACTTCTAATTATTTGTCTTCCAGAATTTTAGATGAGCTTTCAAGAATAAAATTGATAGGAGTTGAGCAGATGAGATTGAGTCAATGATGCAATAATGATATGCAAATATTAGCCGTAGTAATAGTGTTCCAAGAATTGCATTTGTTGATAAAAAATTAAATTCATAACTAAAATGCTAACTTTTGAATGGAAAAAGATTAAGAATTGAAATAAGTTTCATGCCAAACAATTTCATTTTTTTAAGTTAGAAATTGACGACAATAAACTGAATTCCAAAAAGCATTTACAAAAAGAAAAGAAAAAAACAGTAACTGTTTCATAACAAATAAAAATAAATGAAGATAATTTAGTATGGTTGTAAGTTTTAGTGAGAGTGAAATTGATTAGAAGCAAGCAATGAGCAAAAAGGTCAAATTAGCATAGATCGGGTCAAGTGAGCAATAATAGAAAGCAGCAAGTATGAGGGCAATAAATTGTTGCTACCATATGGTTGTTTTGAAAGGGAAGATGCTAATATTTATAACACAAACAGAGTAAGATGGATGGATAAGCACTCTAATCAATAACGTCGTTAATTTCGGGATTGGTTTTTAGATTTCTCAACAACCGCAACAGCTTATTGATCTTCCACATCTTTAGCAGCATTTCATTTCAAGGATTTTGAGTATTATGTTAATACCAAGAAATTTTCCATAGCAGAATATCAATTTATGAACTATAAGCAATTAATTGAAATGAGTTTGAATTAATAGCTACAATAGCCATAATCCATAATCAATAGATTGAAATCAATTTGAAAAATTAACAGCTATAATCAATAAATTGCAATTAATTTGAAAACCATTATTGAAATTTATTTTTCACCCAATGCTAAACTTTAACAAATAATTCGAAATTAATCTCAGCACATTCAAGAAAAGATGGGAATGAAAGAGAAAGAGAGAGAGGGTTTATATCTCAAAGAAAGAAAAATACTTTTCATTACTAAAAAAGCTTTCAGTATATGTTATTCTTTATATGTCCAAATTAAGACCTGTAATAAGAGTTTTTGAAAAATAGTGATATTTCCTCTGATAGATTGTTTACGTTAATTTTGGCTGTATGGATAAAATTCATATTTGTAAAAAATGATCAATAATTTTTATCAGTTTTTGGTATTTATTTAATTGTTAATTATTTAATCAAATAAATAAAAACAGTGGAATACTGCATTAAATCAAAAATGGATAACATTTTTGGATGGATAATTAAGGGAAGATAATTAATAATAGCTAATGTGCTGACTTAATAATACTATTGCCAATTACAAAGTTGATTATGAGAGCATTAATTATGTGTTAGAGCTTCTAAAATAATTGGATTCATATATTGGGACTGAATTTCACTTCAGCATTTATCACTCAAATATACAAAGTAAGTGATGATAAGATATTCGAAGATTTGATTTTATTCTCAGTTATTTCATTATCATTTTGAAGAGTAAAATTGGATGCGAAAAAGTTGAATGAATGTTATAAGCAAAATTTTTAGACTAAGCTTGTGGCACTGAAGAGAGACGTTTTTAAAAATTGCTGATATCCATTTTTTTTTTTTTTTT